CCCCAAAACCCCAAAACCCCAAAACCCCTCTTTCAACTATACAGAAGAATTGAAAAATATTTAGAATAAAATTAAAAAGTATTAATTTATCTTTTGAAATTTAAAATGAAAAGCAATTCATCCTCTTATGAAAAATAGCAAACTTAAACTCCTATATTTTAATATACTCAATAGTCGTAGAAGGATAGCTAGTCTTCTCCACCTATATTTGATGGTAGTTAATCATCATTCTAGGTCTCAGAGGATAATTCGTTATCTTTTTAGAAGGATATACTAATGAATCATATTCCCGAGATTGAAAGCTTTCCAGGTAGTGCTAAAAATGAACTCTCAACATTCTTGAAACTTGATTCATAAGTTTCTTTGAGGCAGAGCTAAAAGCTTTCTTAATTTTCACAGTTAGATAACTTAATTCTAACCTTAAGGTAAATTAAGACTTAATCTATAATAAGTATATAGAGAGAAAGCATTTAATTAGGAATAGGATACTTATAAGAAATAAAGACTAAGTGAGAACAAATTTGGGATATATATAAATTCCATTGAATAGCTTATGGAAAAGGTTATCTTAAGTTTGAAGTAATTATTCAAGAATTAAGATACTACGAAAGTTCTTTCAGACATAGCAGATTGTATAGATATGATTTATGATAAAAAATTTGGACTTGGTGACATACGAATAGAAATAGAATAGAAAGAAAAAATACAAATCCAATAAAATAAGGCATTATTTCAAGAAATTGAGTAACTAAAGTCGAAAGTGCAAAACCAAAATGAAGCATTTTAGATAAAGAATGAAAATAATGATAATGATTCAAATCTCTTTTCTGAATTGATCTAGGTTTATGGCGATAATCTCTAAAATGCTTTAGAAGGTGATTAACTAATTGGCATTTAAAGCTAAATTTCCAATGAACTAAAATAATAAGTTGAAAATCACTTCTAAATCATGGAAGAAATAAGATAAAGACTGGCTTAATAGCAAAAAACCATAAAATAAAAGCAGGAATAGATTGTCCAACAGGCTCAAACAATACTTTAACAGAAAGAGATAATCTAGAATATGTCAAAAACTTCTCAGAATAGATCAAAATCTCAAATTCTTATGGGTCTCTTTAGTTCTTAGAGCGAGCGAAGTTAGAGTTCTGATATTTAAAACTATAAAGCGATAGACGATGGAGTATAATTCATTAAAGCAAATGATTTCTTAGTTTAAACATATCAATCGTCTCCACCAAGTGATTAGATTCATTATGAGACATTCGTTGACAAAGAAAATACTAATATACCAATGAATAAATTGAAAAGTGGTAAAAATTTCTACAAAACAAATTAAACTTAGGGGGAGACAACTGAGAATTCAAAGAATCATCTCAAATCAAAATTTAATGTATCCTTGAATTAAGATGATGTAAGTACTTATCTTAGCTCCCCACTAAGGCATATGTTTAAATCTGATTTACTGTAAACTTCAATGGACTAAACAAACAAAGAACTAGATAAATTAAACCATTAATAGCTAATTAAAAACTAATAAAACAAACTTAATCTCAAGCATAAGATATTTGAATCTTTAAATTGCAATAAAAATCAAAGATCAAACTAGGTTGAACTTCCTTAAATGTAAAAGCAATCAAGTGAAAGTGAGACAAAATACTTTAATAATTTCGATGAGTAGTATTAATAGTTAAAGGCGAAGAAAAAGTAGTATTCTTCTATTGGGATATACTAGGCTAAGAAACCTGGCAGATAAACAATGAGTTCTATAATTCCAGAGGGAGCAGGGAACAATAGCAGGATGAATCATTTAACTTTGGATAAAATCACTGTATTTGATGAAGATAATGATGATTAGTTTTGATTTCAATATAGTAATTTCTAATATTAATAGTAATATAAAATAATTATAGTATAGCATATTTATTAAATATATAATCAATGGAGTAAGCATCTCAATTACAGCAAGAATAGTCAACTACTTAAATAGAAACGACATTAAGCGCTGACCCAAGTCTCCTAGGATCTCTATCATTCTAAGAATAAAACTAAGACTTGGAAGCAATGATTAAGCAAAATAACTTTATAGAAAACTCAGTAAGTGTAGGTGAAGGCGAAGATAACAATTCAATAATGCCTGATAACTTCAGAGAGCGACGTGATCTGGAATAGTATTTCTTTACCAAGAATACCATAGAGCATCTTTTATCATCTTTTACTATGGCTGTACCAAATCCTGAAGATCTTGAAAAGAAACTATGTCTAATCTGTGCACCTACACTTGCTAAGGCATTCCATGAAAGACTAGGTTTAAAGATCACAATATTAGACATTGATGAGAGATTTAAGGAGCTACCTGGCTTTAAGTACTTCGATCTCTAGGCGCCAATTCCATTTGAGAATGAATTCGAGTATATTCTATTTGATCCTCCCTTCTTTTATATAACTCTTGATTAGATGAGCAAGGCTATCTAAGTTGTAGCAAATGGCAAAAAAGACATTAAGCTTATGATGAGTTTTATGATAAGAGATGAGGCACAAGTCAAGCAGTCATTTAAGATGTTTAACTTAGAGAGAACTTAGTATCAGCTGGAATATGCAACTGTAAAGCCAAACAGATGGGAAAATTATGGCCTATATGCAAATGTAGATTTGCCCATGATAAAAAGAATGAAGAAGAAGGGAGGTAGTAAATGGTGAAATCTATTTGTTTTCAAGTCTTAATCTTGATTTAATTAAGTATGCAGTATTTATTTTAATTATTTAATAACTATTAATAAGTGATTTAAACCGATTGACATTTGGGGTTTTGGGGTTTTGGGG